GAGGGTTTAGGGGATAGACAAGCATTCTTGCATCATTTCACAAATGCTTTTAAGGTACTATCTACGTATAAGGGAGTGAGGGGCAGAAGACAGGATACTTGCAAATGGGAGGGAAGAGAAATTTTTGGGGAAACAAGCTTTCGTTGCATAGCCACCCAATGGTTTGTGTGAATGTGGCAGGGCCAATCTATTGTTCTGGTCAACATGGTTGATGTCCAATATGGAAGAAAATTTGCAGTTTCTAATGCTTGGCTAGGCTAAATAGTTTAGGTTGAAACCTATTTTTGGCTCCAGATGAATTTAAAGGTCTGTGAGGTCAAGATGAAAGAGAAGGAAGGGTGATTGGGAGAGTTTGGAATAGATATAGAAATCTTGGTAAGATTTGAGTAGGAGCAAAATAATTGCAAAAGGAAATGTCTTTAGGATTGCATTTTAATTTAGTGCCTAGGTAGGTGAGACCTTTTGGTATCCTTTAAAATGGGAAGAACTGTTTTAAGAGTTAGACCAGGGGTCTCCAAACTATGGCCCTCCAGCTGTTGAAGTACTACAAGTCCCATCATGCCTCTGCCACTGGAAGTCTTGCCTGTGGCTGTCAGAATCTTGCAAGGTCTCATGGGACTGGAGGACCTGGATAGTTTGGAATCCCCTGAGTTAGACAATGGGGGATTCAGGGTTATGTTCATGGCTTATGATTTGTCGTAGTTTATTTTGAGGTAGGTGAGGGAGCAATATCGGTCAAATTCTTTAACTATTTGTGGTTGGTGATATAACATAATAAATCATTGGTGTAGTGTCTGTTTTAGTGTTAAGTCCTGAGATGTTGTGAGGTGATCTGATCTGATAACAAAATGGTTCCAGGCTAAGAACAAAGATTAACAGGGACAAGGGGTAGCCTTGTCTGATGCTAATTGAGATGGTAAAACTGTCCGAGATGCTGTTGTTTACTTTCACCCTGGTGTGAGGTGAAGAGCAGAGGGACATAATTCACTGTAATTTATATTTGGGTGTTTGAAGGATAAAATGCCATGCTTCCCTATTGACTGCCTTCTAAGCATCTGTCAATAAACATGTAAGCAGGTTGAAATTAGCTAGATAGGTGCTGCCCAGATGGGAGGGTAGGGGTTAATACCTTTCCCAGTTCTTTGGTTTTTGGCTGAATCTCTGGGTCTGACCCACTGCACCTGTGGCTATAATAGGGGACAGTGGGTCAAACCCTATAGTCTTTTTGCCTCTGAGCCGTTTTGGTCTTTGTTCTACCTTTTTCCTGATTCCCTGAGGAAGAGCCGCACCCAGGAGGAGTACAGAATGTCACTTCCTACTACTTGGATGTAAAGTCGTCAGAACTTGGGGTTTGCCTTGAAGACACCAGCTGCTGGAGAATGAATCTGATGGACTCTAATTACATGGACTCTAGCTTTTGCAGGTATGCAGGGGCAGCACATAGCCCGGTTAGGACTAGGGACATACGATTTTGACCGTTTTGGTTTTTTTTTTTTTGTTCTACTGGACTATCGTGTCTGCTTTGGACTCTTTTGTAATGTTGCATGTTAATTCAAGTAAAGTGTTAAACTTTGCTTTTTGCCTGGTCTGAAGTCCTTGAAACTGTGCATTGCAAGTAACCATCACTATCAAACACTTAGTTTACAACTTTAAACTGCTAACTGAGGCCTGGTAGGATATCTGTTTCTATGGATCATCAAAAACTCTACAGATTAACACTTCCCTTTTGTAAAAAAAACAATGACAAAATCTGTCAGTTCTGTCGCACATGATGTGTAAGGAAATTAAAGCACTAGGAATGCATAGCATGCCCCTAAAACGTCTACCCAGAAAGCAACCGGGCGTGGGTGACCTCTCTGAGACCTCTATGCATTAAACAGCTTAACAAAATCCACACACAATTGATAAAATCCAACCGGACAAAGACACAATAATATTAAGTATATATTTGAATGGGCACTATCATACAGAACAAATCAAGATCAAGATCAAGCCAGCACATGCGAAAGGGGAGATACCAGTCTCCTTTCTCCTGGGTGACAGACTCATCCGAAATACTTTGTGTTTGGTGTTCCTAGACAAGAAATGTAATACTGAACAATAACCTACCTAGTTTCCAGATTATAATATCAGGATAAACAGCTCTTAGGACCTCTGGTGGAAATTTTATCACAGGTAAAGATTTCTTATCAGATCCACTGTAAGTTGGTGACAATAATACTGCCCCATAGGCTTCAGTAGTAGTTTATTTAAAAGCATGAAGACAATTTTAAAACCAGGAAGTAATGGATGCGAGCGAATGGTACCAAATTCCAGACTCTGTGGCTATGATGGAAGATCAGCCATTCTTCATTGGGAGAAATGGGCAAAGATGTCACAATTGCCAAAGTGGGGAAATGACAGTGTCCATTGATGTGGTGACTGTCTGTCTTGGACGGGAGCAGCGGGGCGCCAGAAGTGCTGTAGCCAAGACCCAGAGAGCAAACCAGAAGCAAGCCACAGGAAGCCAGAATGGACTGCAAGCAATCATGTTGCCATTTTGTTGTTGTTGCAGTTTTCAGAATATAACCTGTACATAATGAAAGATTTTAATATTAGTATATAACTGTGCGTAAGGCTAGGTCCACACCTACACAGGCTGTATTTAAGCTCTTTCTGCATTGCGTTTTGCACTTTTTGCGCGTTTTTGATGCATTTTGCATTTATTTTTTGTATTTTTCTTGCAAAACGCATCAAAAACATGACAAAGACGCAATACATGCTTTTCTGCAGCGTTTCCATTGAAGTCTATAGAATCAAAAATGCAACTTTTTGTGTTCAAAAAAGTCCCTGACCCTTTCCAAAAAACGCACCGGGTGAAAACTCGCAGATGTGAACATGTCCCATAGGAAATCATGTTAAATGGACTGTAACATTATTATTATACAGTATTTATAAAGCGCCAATAGTTCGCTCAGCGCTGTACATTACAAAGGGGAACAGAACATGTGACAGAACAATACCAATACAATGCAAAACATGAGGGGATTGATAGTGGAGCTACAGGAGGGAGATAGCTGTGGGGGATGGAGTGGTAGGAAGAGTGGAGGAGGTTGGCAAGTTAGCAGGGGGTGGGGTAGGCTTCCCTGAAGAGATGGGTTTTCAGGGTGTGCCTAAAGGAGAGGAGAGTAGGTGATAATCTGATGGGTTGGGGCAGGGAGTTCTAGAGGATGGGTGACACCCTGGAGAAGTCCTGGAGGCGGGCATGGGAGGAGACCAGGGAACTAGAGAGAAGGAGGTCTTGTGAGTAGCGGAGTGTGCGTGCTGGGCGGTACTTGGATATTAGGTCAATGATGTAGTTCGGGGCAGTATGGTGGACAGCTTTGTATGTCATTGTTAGGCTTTTGAATTTGATCCGTTGCGCAATCGGAAGCCAGTGGAGGGATTGGCAGAGGGGGGTGGCGGAAACGGAGCGGTTGGAAAGGGAATGAGTCTGGCAGCCGTATTCAGGATCGACTGAAGCGGGGATAGCCAGCGGCGAGGCAGGCCAGTGAGGAGGGAGTTGCAGTAGTCGAGTCGTGATATGATGAGGGAGTGGATGAGCTGTTTAGTGGTTTCTGGGGTTAGGAACGTGCGTATTTTGGCGATGTTGCGGAGGTGGAGTCTGCATGAGTTTGTTAAAGATTGGACTTGGGGCTGGAAGGATAGGTTGGAGTCCAGAATGACACCAAGTACTCTGGCCTGTGGGGCGGGTTTGATGGTGGCGTTGTTGGATGTGATGGAGAAGTCAGTGGGGGGTGGTGTCCGGGCTGGGAGGAAGACAAGAAACTCGGTTTTGGAGAGGTTCAGTTTAAGGAAGTGGAGCGACATCCAATCTGATATGTCCCTCAGTAGGTGTGTGATTCGGGCAGAGACTGGGGGGGTGAGGTGGAGGGTTGAGAGATAGATTTGTGTGTCATCGGCATAGAGGTGATAGTTGAAGCCGTGAGAGTGTATGAGTTGGCCAAGGGAGGAGGTGTAGATGGAGAAGAGAAGGGGCCCAAGGACAGAGCCTTAAGGGACCCCAACAGAGAGGGGGAGGTGGTAGCATTATAGGTAACTCTGAAGGAGCGTTGTGACAGGTAGGATGAGAGCCAGGAGAGAGCAGAATCTCTGAGGCCGAGGGGGTGTAGTTTTTTGAGGAGGAGGGGGTGGTCGACTGTGTCGAAGGCCGCAGAGAGGTCAAAGAGTAGGAGCACTGAATAGTGGCCATTAGCTTTGGCGGTTAGCAGGTCATTGGAGAGTTTGAGTAAGGTGGTTTCGGTGGAGTGTAGGGTTTATGATGAAAGATTATTTATTTGCAATATTTTATAAGAAAAACACTTTTTTTCAAAATTTTTGGACTTTTTCATTTACATAGCAAAAAAAATAAAAATCCCAGCGGTGAATAAATACCACCAAAATAAAGCTTTATCTGTCTCAAACAATCGTCGTAAAAAATTCATATAGGTACAGTATTGCATGACCGCGTAATTGTCATTCAAAGTGTGATAGTGCTGAAAGCTGAAAATCGCCCTGGACAGGAAGGGGATAAAAGTGTCCGGACATGAAGTGGTTAATGTGCCAGGATGCATCACATTGTGAAGAACTTACTTTAACCTCCCTAGCGGTATGATTATGTCAGTATTTCTGTGCTCAAAGCGGTACATTGTTTTCAATGAAAATATGTTTTTTTTTTTATTGAAGCCTTGTAATTCTTAGGAATAACTCACTGAAATCTGTCCGAACAAGAGTCTAGTAAACATCCCGGGTATGATAAAATTTGAAACACAAAATCATAAATTATAATATAATAATCATAAAAAATAATAATATAATAATACATTTACCATATTTTTCGCTCCATATGATGCCTTTTTCCCCCCAAAAAATGGGGGGAAAATGTCAGTGCGTCTTATGGAGCGGCCGGTCCGGTATTTCCACCGTGTCAGAATACCGGGCCGGCCACTCAGCTCTTCTCAGCAGCAGGACCTTACCTGTTCCTCGGTCCAGCGCTGTACAGTCTTCCCGCGCCGGCATCTTTAGTGTGGGCACCCGGCTGTGACAGCCAGGTGCCCATTGCGCATGCATAAGAAGAGCTGCACTTTGTGAATGGCCCAGCGTCTTCTGGGACACATGGCAGGTCCCAGAAGACGCCGGGCCATTCACAAAGCGCAGCGCTTGTCGCCCATGCGCAGTGGGCAACCGGCTGTCAGCCGGGTGCCCACACTAAAGGGAGGACAACTCTGCGGAAGTGGGAGCGGGAACCTGTCAAATTCAGGTACCTGCACCCCCTCCTTCCCCAAAGGTCCACAGTCTCTGGTCATCTCTTGTACTGTCTGCAAACTCTTGGTCATCCCCTGTACTGTCTGCAATCTCTTGGTCATCCCTGTACTGTCTGCAGTCTCTTGTTATCCCTGTACTGTCTGCAGTCTCTGGTCATCCTTGTACTGTCTGCAGTCTCTGGTCATCTCCTGTACTGTGTCCGCAGTCTCTGGTCATCTCCTGTACTGTGTCCGCAGTCTCTGGTCATCTCCTGTACTGTGTCCGCAGTCTCTGGTCATTTCCTGTATGTGTCCGCAGTCTCTGGTCATTTCCTGTATTACTGTCTGCAGTCTCTGGTCATCCCTGTACTGTCTGCAGTCTCTGGTCATCTCCTGTACTGTGTCCGCAGTCTCTGGTCATTTCCTGTACTGTGTCCGCAGTCTCTGGTCATTTCCTGTACTATGTCCGCAGTCTCTGGTCATTTCCTGTATTATGTCCGCAGTCTCTGGTCATTTCCTGTACTGTCTGCAGTCTCTGGTCATCTCCTGTACTGTCTGCAGTCTCTGGTCATCCCTGTACTGTGTCTGCAGTCTCTGGTCATTTCCTGTATTGTGTCCGCAGTCTCTGGTCATCTCCTATACTATGTCCGCAGTCTCTGGTCATTTCCTGTATTATGTCCGCAGTCTCTGGTCATTTCCTGTATTATGTCCGCAGTCTCTGGTCATCTCCTGTACTGTCTGCAGTCTCTGGTCATCTCCTGTACTATGTCCGCCGTCTCTGGTCATCTCCTGTATTATGTCTGCAGTCCATTGGTTCAGAATATTTTTTTTTTCTTTTCACCTCTAAAACCTAGGCGCATCTTATGGAACGAAAAATACGGTAATTCAATAATGTAATCACACCAAAAATACTGAAATTTGAAACAGAGCGCCAAGTTTGCACATCACTGAGCTTAGTTGCAGAATCGTTTTCAGTGTCTGATGATGAATTTCCCCACAAATCATCACTCAATTCTGCAAGTGGTTCTAATTTACTATCGCTGTTCTCTAGCTGGTCTAAAATCATTTTGACCTAAAGGGACACTTTTTGGACGCCATGGATGTTTCTCAGTTTCCAGGCAGAAAGAACGATAAAAATGTAGGCAGGGCACAGGACAAAGCACTCGGGACAAAATGTATGTGAAATGGTTTGATACAGTAATGCAATACTATCAGATTTTAGTGTATTGAGTGAAAGTCACATTTTTACATTTTTGAAATTCCCGCCAGTTGCGTCCCCCGTACGTCCCGACGCTCACAGGGAAAGGAACCCGGCATCTGCCGGAGGACATTGCCGGGGACGCTGCAGGGGGGACATCACGGGAGCGCAGGACAAGGTAAGTGAAGAGATCCCGGAGCAACGCTGCAATGTATTCCAGAGTGTAGCTCAGGGTTACCTCTTCTGGTACTGAAACATTACCCCGAGCTACACTCAGTAATACCGCCGGGGGGGTTAAAATAAAAACCCTCCAGCACCGCACTGTCACCGCTGCAGAGACTTCCATCTTCATCTGGTCCTCCTTCAGGGTTCACAATCTCCGGCTGACAGGACGGGCCTCGATGACATCACTCCTGCACATGCGTGCGGGAATCCTGGGCCACGGCACACAGCTCTGAAGGAACGGCACAGGTACGACGAGCACATGGACCAGCTGCATGTTTAGATGTTCATTTTGGTGAACTTTATTGTAAGCTTACCTGTAGGTAAAATAAAAAAAGAAAAAACTAGTTTACTACCACTTTAAAAAACGCGAGTGTGCATGGAGCCATAAAGCTACTTCAGCCCATTCCTCCAGGACTCCTTGTGTGAGCAGCTTCCCTCAGCTGGAGGTGCGCCGAGCTCTCCTGGACCCAGCCTCAGCCCCATCCTCAGCCCCAGCCTCAGCCCCATTCATTCTACAATAACAGGATCGGTTTGGAGCAACCAATCCACTCCAGTTCAGAAACAGCGGAGATCACATGACCTCATCCACACTGAGTCATCGAGGATTCTCGCGAGACTGCTGCATGGCCGTAGCATAGCAACTGAACGCCGGCGCGTAATTGCAACATGAATCGTGCAATGGCGGATAACCGGAGACCATCGGTGTCCTCCCGGAAGGTGAGCGGCTGTGGAGACGGTGATATGTCCGTGCTGAGCGCTGTGCAGACATGTTATATTTCTCAGACGGGAGCCCCCTGAGTGGTTCGCATTCTCGGCTCTGGAGACAGGTGTATGGGGGGTGCAGCGACCAATCAGATCGGATAGTTTTCCGATACATGAAGCACTCAGGCCTATTCAATAGAACATTCAATGGCAACCAATTCACCTCCATCCTGCATACAACTGAACTAAGGCTTGCTTCTCTCCATACATGCACTCTGGGGGGGCATGACTAGAATTTTGGGGGGCACAACCCACCCCAGCACCCCCCTAAATCCGGCCCTGACACCCACTGAGCACGACCCATTCAAGCAAATGAAAACTGAAGCTACATACAATGCAAGTGGTTGCACCTTCTCACCACTCATCAAATGCTCTTGGAAGAGTGATCTGAACGTGTATCACTCTTCAGAGACCGAACCGAGTGTGAACAAGCTCTAATGATGGCCATACTGACAAATGATTGCTAGCTTTTCCAATCAACCTCTCCTGATTGGAATATTAAATCTAATTGTAAATATCTATATCGACAACCCATTTGATACAGACAGGGAAGTGGATTTTGTTTGATGTTTAGAAGATAAGGTCATGAGTTTGGACTCTTTCAGGGAGATGGCAGTGCTTATCGCCCACTGAAAAGTGATCTGCGGTGGAATGGATTGCTTTTCAGTGCAACAGGGGCAGACAGGCATATTGTGTGTGTTTCTCAGCACCTAACCTACGACTAGTTTCACATCTATGTGTTTCGGGAACCCACACAACGGTGCACAGAAACATGCTGCAGAGGAACAGTGGTTGCCGTTTGGTAATTGTTAATGGCACCCTACACATCTGTAAGGCCCCTTTCACACGGGTGTTCCATCTGTGTTTCATCCATAAATGGACAGATGAAAAATGGACACCCATGTATTTCTATGGACTACTAGCAGGTGTAAACAGATGATCATCTGTTTACATCCGTTAATGTCCGCATTACGGATGTAAACAGATTTAAATAGACAAAAAATGGATGTAAATGGATGAAAAATGGATGTAAACTGTCAAAAACTGATATAAATGGACAAAAATGGTTGAAAAACAGACTTAAATTGATGAAAAACGGATGTAAACTGATGAAAATTGATGTGAACTGATCAGTTTTTTTTCTTGGAAAAAACATGACTAAACTGAGGAAAAAAAAAAAGAAACGCCCGTGTGAAAGGGGCATTAATGTGAGCATCTTCAGTTTGGTGCAGTGATTTTTTGGAAAAAGAGTAAGGGCTTCTTTTCTTCGTTTCTTACACATAGGACCCTTTCACACAGGCGTTCCGTATGTCCGTTTTTCATCTGTCCGTTTACGGATGAAAAACAGACACCCATGTATTTCTATGCACTAACGGATGTAAACGGATGATCATCTATTTACATCCATTAATGTCCATATCTGTTAACATCCATTTTTTTGAGCGGAAGATAACCCTATTTTTCTTCTGTTAAAAAAATGGAACGGATGTAAATGGACAAAAAAATGGATTTAAGCGGAACAAAGACACAAAATGGATAAAAACCAGATGTAAATGTTCAAAAATGGATGTAAACGGACAAAAAACTGATATAAATGTATATAAACGGACAAAAAACTGATATAAATGGACAAAAAGAGATGAAAAAAAAACGATTGAAAAACATGATGTAAACTGATGAAAAACTGATGTGAACTGATCTGTGTTTTCTTAGAAAAACTTGACTGAACTGATGAAAAAAAAACGGCATGCCCCTGTGAAAGGGGCATTAATGTGAGCATCTTCGATTTGGTGTGGTGCATTCTTGAAAAAAGAGTCAAAGACTTCTTTTCTTCGTTTCTTGCACATAGGACCCTTTCCCTCGGGCTATCCATATGTCCGTTTTTCATCTGTCCGTTTACAGGTGAAAAACAGACATCCATGTGTTTCTATGGACTAGCAGATGTAACAATCCGCATAATATGAGGTCAAGCCTGAGCACTTTCAATTTGTATGCAGTCAGGCAGGTTATTGCACTAAAGTACTGTGACGAACGCAAGATCTCTGCCACCAATATGTGACGAACGCGGCGTCAGACCCCAGCCCTTCTCACCAAATTTGTGACCGAAGGACTAACCAATCTAAAAAAGGGTTTGCCGCGATGTCATGTGCGTAAACACACAAGCGAGGGGTGCCACACCCCAGCTGCACAACGATTTTCCAGCTAATTGGACCACAATCTATGTACCGGCAGCCTGAGCGATTGTTACTGGGTCAGGTTAATTACGCAATTAACCCTTCACACTGCCACCACCTCCTTTTTGTACAGAGAAAGAGGAAACTCGGCAATCTCAGCAATAACACTATAATGGTTGAGATAATCGTCTCTATTACACAGTCACCGCAGGCTGGTTATACAGAGGGTTAAACAAACACAGTAGCGCTCTTTTAGAGGCAGGAATTCGTAAATTGCCATAAAGAGCTATAGAAACAGTTCAACACTTTCAGAAGGAAAGATTTATTACTGAAAGGTCAAAAGGGTGCAATACAAATATTTACAGAAAAAAGATGTAACCAATAATAATAATAAATATACAGAGAACAACAGCACAGCAAAGAGGTAACAAGGAGGTTAAAGGGTTAAAGTACTTGCCAATCAGCCTTGGTTTTGCAGATCAAGTTTCAGAGCGAAAGGGTACGGGTCTCCCCAGGTGGTTCTGATGTTAAAATGGGAGACTTCTTCAACTTCCCTTTTTCTTAGGGCTGACAACCCAATTTGTAGTTCTCCAGCAGGGGGTGTCTCTGAAGTCAAGGACCAATGTCCCGTTTAGGGAGGGATCGTTTGGGCGTAGGCCTAAATTAGAGCCAAAATCTCTTGTAGTTCATACTTTGGCTCATAACTTTCCATATGCAAAAGTGACACAACACCCGTGGGTAGATTATTATGTGGACACGTCTGAGGATTGATTAGATATGAATTATGAAATTCTATACTGCATGGTTCACGAGATCTATTCCAACCATGGAGAGTGACATCAAAATGTTCATCTCCTCTTGGCCAATCTGATGATATGCCTGGTTTTTATGTAAGTCTCTCATATTCCAAGATAGGAGACATAGGGGAAAAATTTATTTTTTAAAAAGGTTATCTGGTTCAATGTCTTTTGAACTGCTGAGAAGGCTAAGTTATCTTTTTACGAGGTGTTAAATTGCACAGGTTCTTTGGACAGTGAGGCACTTCGTGGCTCCCTGCTGGGCTCTGGCCTGTGACACTTTTAACACACACACACACACACACACACACACACTGGCCAAATGTCACTGTGACTCTCAGAGAGGGAGGGGGGAAAATGAGGGGGAAATATGTTTGCCAGGATGGTGACACTGTGTTAACCCCTTTGCCAAGATGGAGGTTGAAGCCAAAATGGTTGAACCGTGTCCATCTCTGGGTGTACGCCTGCCACAAGTACATCTATCTCTATCTATCCATTCAGTCGTATCCGACCCTTTGGTGATTGCATGGACCGTCACTCGTAAGCGACTTTTTCCATAAATTCTCTTAGCAATTATTTTACAGGGTAGGTTGCCAGGTCTTTCCCCAACCCCTACCATGCAGGAGATTCCGCATGGCCAGGGATGAAACTAGGACAATTTAGACAGGAGCCAATTAACCTACCAGCATGTCTTTGGAGTGGGGGGAGGAAACCGGAGAACCCGGAGGAAACCCACGCAAACACAGGGAGAACATGCAAACTCCATGCAGGAGGCGCCATGGTTGGGAATTAAACCCATGACCCAATTACTGCAAGGCAGAAGTGCTAACCACTAAGCCACTGTGCCGCCCCTACAGTACATAGTGGAAGATAAATCCTAAGGAAATTGAATAAGAAAATTGTATAATGTATGGTCAGCTTTAGGCAGGAATTCTACTTTTAGCCTCGGTTCACCTTAGCACAGGTGGAAGGCACAGGGGAACCCGCACTTTGTCCCGCAGCTGCAACCACCCTCACACAAATGTGGGACCCCACGGCGAATGCTATTATTTTAATGGCACGCTTTCTGCACTGGAAATTGCACTTGCATTGAGAATCTCACTGTAATACGGTTTCCAGTGTGGGCTGCGATTTCTAGAAAGGTGCAGTGACCTTTTCCCGCGTTTTGCAAGGCATGACACCCCATTCAAATGAATGAATGGGCAGCTGTATCGTGTTCCACAAAACCACACTAGTGTGAACCAAGTATAAAGTGGTTGGAAACCCTTCTATATACCCGCTGATGTGACTGGCCTCAGGTGATACATAGAGATGAAACAAATCCTCCCACTTAAGATGTACCTGTTTATCTGTAGCACTCTCTACTTGACAGCCGTTTATTAATATTATTATTATACAGTATTTATATAGCACCAATAGTTCGCTCAGCGCTGTACATTACAATGGGATACAATACATGAGACAGTACAATGACAATACAGTGTGATACACGAGGGGTTCGAGGGCCCTGCTCCTTGGAGCTTACAATCTATGAGGGAGGGGATAGTGGTACGGGAGAAAAAGCTGTGGGGGATGGAGTGGTGGGAAGAGAGGAGGAGATCGGCAGTTAGCAGGGGGCAGGGTAGGCTTCCCTGAAGAGGTTTAGAATGCTGAATTTATAAAGCTTGTCTGAAAGTTCCGAACAAAGGGGACGAAGAGCTGAAATTACACTCTGCAGCGCTCAATGAGGAGAACTCATTGGAGGGAAGAGACACACCCCCATCTCCACACACCTTTCCCTGTCACCAATATTCTCTTGGTGTCAGGAAAACATGTCAGAAGTGATTCATGCAGAGGAATGAAGCAGCAGACAGAAATTGCACTTAGTGCTCTGGATTGAGACAAGTACACACTATAGAGATATATGATTTGCTCATATTTCATGTCTGGGGTATACAACCACGTGGATGCGTCTTTTCACATTTTTACAGCACATTTTCAAATTGCGGGCAGAATCACGGCGGTTCCGCCTACTATTTGAAACGCCCTAGTGTGAATAGAGCCTAATGTTACAGAATAAGACCTTGTTCACCATGTTTTGCCTGCACAGGTGTTCCATGTATCTGTGTGTAGGCAGTCCTATTCATGTCAACTGGGATGACATGGACACAGCCGCTGCTCCCAGTTTGACATCTGTGTGGGTGCGTGTTGCTGAATGCAGACAGTGGGAGTTAGGGGACACACGTATGTTGAATAGGGAACAGCAACTGTGTCCCAGTTGAACTCCGTGTCCCAGTTGAACTCCGTGTCCCAGTTGAACTCCGTGTCCCAGTTGAACTCCGTGTCCCAGTTGAACTCCGTGTCCCAGTTGAACTCCGTGTCCCAGTTGAACTCAGTGTCCCAGTTGAGAAGAAAAAAATTAGGCAGATCACTGTTATCAATCACTGATATAATGCATCTATCTATATATATATATATATATATATATATATATATATATAACACTTCATTTTTTTGCAATTTGTTTTTACATTTTAAAGGTTTAGGAGGGCAACATAAAACTGTTGGGATATTTGACACTGTTTTTGATACATTAATACATCAACATCTGGTTCAATGGATGTAGTATGAATTCTCAAAGTGCTCATCAGATATTTTGGTTCCAATTTTTTCTCTTTGTGTACTTAATCCTTGAAAATAGTTGCTCACAAATATAGGTGCTGCTGAAAACTGATGACATGAATAAGGAGTGATTGTGAAGAGTGGGATATTTTTCTTTGGGAAGATAAAACTTATAAAAGTCCATTAAAGAGACGCTGTCAGATTTTTCTTTGGCCACATGTGTTCACTAAGCGTAAATGGATTTTTACAAACAAAAAAAAGTAATTGTCTTCACCTCCGCAACATCTCCAAGATACGGCCGTTCCTAACCTCGGAAACCACTAAGCAACTTATTCACTCCCTTGTTATATCTCGCCTTGACTATTGTAACTCCCTCCTCATTGGCCTACCTCATCGCAGGCTATCCCCTCTTCAGTCTATCATGAATGCTGCTGCCAGATTCATCCACCTTACTAACCGTTCTGTATCTGCCAGCCCTCTCTGCCAATCCCTCCACTGGCTTTCCGTTGCTCAACGGATAAAATTCAAAACATTAACAATAACGTATAAAGCCATTTATAACTCTGACCCAAATTACATCACCGATCTTGTCTCTAAATATCCCAAACCGTACTCTCCACTCTTTGGAAGACCTCCTACTCTCTAGCTTCCTTGTGTCCTCCTCTCATGCTCGTCTCCAGAGCTTCCCCCATCCTCTGGAACTCTCTACCCCAATTTATCAGACTATCGCCTTCTCTGCTCACTTTTAGGCGATCTCTGAAAACCTATCTCTTCAGGGAAGCCTATCTTGCCCTCAGCTAATACTGGAATCTTCTACTCTTCCAATCAGTCCATCCCCCACAGTTATTACCTTTTGTACCACTAGCCCCTCCCTCCTAGATTGTAAGCTCCAAGGAGCAGGGCCCTCAAGTCCCTCTTGTATTGAACTGTATTGTTACTGTATTGTCTCCCGTTATATTGTAAAGCGATGAGCAAACTGTTGGCGCTATATAAATCCTGTATAATAATAATAATTGTAAATGTAAAATATATAAGTTTACAATTTTGTGTTGGGCTGCCTTCATACCCGTCCTGGTGTATGCCCATGATGCTAATAAGGTTTTCAAGCAATCGAGGTCTCATTAATTTCTTTCAAGTAAACATTTGTAAAAATATTTCTTTTAGGGGCGAAAGACAAATGGCACTGGTCAAGTTGGTCCTGAGTCTGTTAAAAAGACCACACAAGACAGTCTTTTGGCAAAAGAAGAAGAATACAAGTATAGTTTTCTCTTGGTTTTACCATACCTTTTATTCCTGCTGATTTCATGTATTAAATGTGTCTGTTGGTCAAGGTAGAATAATACATGTTGTTGATTTATTCTTCAGTCCATTTCATCTTTATTGTTCTAGGGCTCTATTCTTCAGTGTCTTATGTACTTACCTTCTATTTGAATTTGAAGAGCTTTATTTTCACACTTTCAAAACACTAGCTGAAAACCACTGCTATAAACTAGCAGTTCATTAGCTCACCTCACCCTTTGATGCTCACAAATTGATAAAACATAAAGTCTCTATGTAGCTGCTCTGCTTTTGAATTTTCTTTCTTTTAAATTTTGGCATACCATAGCAATTGATGTCAGAAGTGGGGGACTGACAGTGGGACTCCTATCCATATGGTGTTTGCCAGCTTTTTGGCAAGGAATTTGAAAAGAGCCTCCAGCCAGACTGCAGCCTCTGCCTGTCCATTGCGGCAGCTGGGGCAAGAAGTCGGAGGAGAGCCAAAGGGTCATGGCTACACTCCAGGGCATGATTACACTATTTGAAAGGTAGTAAGAACGTTGCTAGTAGCTATGGTATTTCATCTTTAAATTATAAAAATGAAAAATTAACATAGTGTTTTTAAAGCTTCTCTTTTTTTTTTTGCGTTTAGTTTTATCTCCAGTTTTTAATGTAGTGCATACATAACAGCAAGGTGCAGTGCTACGTGTTGGCAAAGCAGTAAACAAAGTACATAATTAAACCTAGTAATTAGGGCTTGTTCACACTGGACATTTAGCCCCAGAGCATCAGGCTCCAGTATGTAGGTGTAGATGGACGGTTCAGTTCACAAGGTGCTGGAATTCAAATGCCGATGGAAGGTACAGGTGCACCGTGCAGCTCCGCTGCCGGCAGCTTATAAAAGTCTTATCAGAGGCTGACAGCTGGTACAGCGAGCATTACTTACATTTATTGCAGTATGTTCCCATGCAGTCTGCGTTCTGGGCAATCGCCCCTTGGGCACATACTGCACTAAACATAAGTACCATTGGGTGCACCATCCAGCTGCAGCATCTGTCAGCCTTTCATCAGCTGGACAGTGTGGTACCTTCCACCTGCAACTAAACGCCAGAGCCTTGTACACCGGGGTTAAAACACAGTGTATATGAGGCCTTAAAGTGGTTGTAAACCCTTACATATACCCAGTAAAGTGGCTGGTCTCAGGTGATACACAGAGATGAAACAAATTCTTCTACATAAGTTGTACCTGTTTATCTGTAGCCCTCTCATCTCAATATCTGTTCAAAGTCCAGAATTTATAAAGCAGGGATGTCCAGAAAAAGGGAGTGGAGAGCTGAAATGACACTTTGCAGAGTTTAGTGAGAAGAGCCCTGAGAGCTAATTGGAGAGAAGAGACATATACAGTTGTGTCCAAAATTATTCAACCCCCAATGCTGTAAAGGGGTTTAGGGACTATAGTGTACATTTGGAATTGTATTCAGAATCAAATCCTACAAGGACGTTGTAACTACCCAAATGCAACTAAAATGACATCAATTGTTTATGTAATACAGTAGTAAATGGTTCTTATGTGGTTTCTTCATTGCCACAATTATTCAACCCCTTAAAGACTACCACTCTGAAGAACAGAGGTTCATACAGGTGCTTTCCATCAGGTATTGAAAACACCTGTGGATGTCACCGAGCAGCAATCAAGCATAATAAGCACCAATTAGGCAGCTTTAAAATGACTGTGATACTCAGCTCCTTCTAGACATTTACTGGTGTGGTTACAAACATGGTGAAGGCAAGAGAATGGTCCAGGAAGACAAGAGAAGAGGTGATTTCTCTTCACAGGAAGGGCAATGGCTATAAGAAGATTGCAAAGATGTTAAACATACCAAGAGACACCTTAGGAAGCATCATTCGCAAATTCAAGGCAAAGGGCACTGTTGAAACGCTACCTGGTCGTGGCAGAAAGAAGATGCTGACTTCGACTGCTGTGCGCTACCTGAAGCGTAGAGTGGAGAGAAGTCCCCGTGTGACTGCTGAGGAACTGAGAAAAGATTTGTCAGATGTGGGTACAGAAGTTTCAGCCCAGACAATAAGACGCACACTGCGTAATGAAGGCCTCCGTGCCAGAACTCCCAGGCGTACCCCCTTGCTGTCTCCAAAGAATAAGAAGAGTCGACTGCAGTATGCCAAAAGCCATGTGGACAAACCACAAAAGTTGTGGGATAGTGTTCTGTGGACTGATGAAACAAAATTAGAACTGTTTGGGCCCATGGATCAACGCTATGTTTGGAGGAGGAAGAACAAGGCCTATGATGAAAAGAACACCTTGCCTACTGTGAAGCATGGTGGAGGGTCAATCATGCTTTGGGGCTGTTTTGCTTCTGCAGGTACAGGGAAGCTTCAGCGTGTGCAAGGTACCATGAATTCTCTTCAGTACCAGGAGATATTGGATGGAAACGTGATGCAGTCCGTCACACACCTGAGGCTTGGGAGACGTTGGACCTTTCAACAGGACAATGATCCCAAGCATACCTCCAAGTCCACTAGAGCATGGTTGCAGAGGAAAGGCTGGAACATTTTGGAGTGGCCATCGCAGTCACCAGACTTAAATCCGATTGAGAACCTCTGGTGGGACTTAAAGAAAGCAGTTGCAGTGCGCAAGCCTAAGAATGTGACTGAACTGGAGGCCTTTGCCCATGAAGAATGGGCGAAGATACCCGTAGATCGCTGCAAGACACTTGTGTCAAGCTATGCTTCACGTTTAAAAGCTGTTATAACTGTAAAAGGATGCTGTACTAAGTACTAAGATTGAATGTCACTTGGGGGTTGAATAAAACTGATAATGCTGTGAGCACAGAAAAGACATTTGTGGTTATTTCATTATAACTGTTATGTTATATTTGTCTGACCTACAAGTGCCTCTTTAATGTAAATGTAAGCAAGATGACTGAATGATCAAAAGCAATGTCAAACTGGCCAAAACACTCAATTTCAGTGGGGGTTGAATAATTTTGGACACAACTGTACTCCTTCACACACCTCACAGGAACAGAGCTGAGGCTGTAAATCTGCTGGAGGCCCCTCCCCTGTCTCCATTTTTCTCTTGGTGTCCAGACAACTTGTCAGAAGTGATTCATGCTGATAGCAGAGGAACAAAGCAGCAGATACAATTGACACTTAGTACTCTTAAAGTAAAGCTATAGGCAAATGTTTTTGTTTTTTTTTTTTTCATTTTGGGTAGAGTAAGGGAGGGTTATAACCCCTGTCAGGTTTTTTTTTTTTTTTTTGCCATCTGTGTCCCATTGCGGAGATATCCCTTCACTCCTGTCACATAGTCAAACAGGAAGTGATAAGAATTCCTGCAAATTAAGGGGATTCCTTGTGGACCCCCTAGGTCACCAGAACTAATGCCCCCATTGAAAGATCTCCCCTCTATTACTTTTCTGGGGACAATCCAAAATTAAGGATTCAATGATAATGGTAAACAGGACAAAAAGAGAGGATGAATCTCTTTAATGGGGATACAGACATCAATAAAACCTGACAGGGGTTCTAATCCCTCTTCACTCTATCCAAAACTTAAAAAAAAAATGATTGGCCTTTAGTATACTTTAATAGAGATGAGTACACATTATAGAGAGATATGCTTTGTTTATACTTCATATTTAAGGTTTACATGCACTTTAAAAGATGAGTTCACCTTTTCTAACATGTTACACCCGTATTCTGAGTGTAACATGTAACATGTTACTGCTGCAGCTGGCCCCTCACCCCGACTCCCCCCGAAGTCCCTGATGTGACAGCGGCAGTCAGGTTGTTCTCAATGAATTACCAGGGTGCTGTTGAGAACTGTGGTTAGTTTAAAACTGCCTGCTTGTTCGAGGTACATGCAGACAGCTTACTCACAGAGTCTGCAAGAGCCCCGCATAGCAATGCAATGCTTTACAGGATCCCAATAGAAAAATAAATGCACATTTTTTTTACCTGCAAAAAAGATGTGCATTTATTCTGTTTTTTGAAAAGTTAAACTTATCCTTTAATAAATTGGGATGTTCACACAAAAAAAGTTGTTTCTCTTAAATTATCCAGTCATGTATATATGAAATAATAAAAAAATAGCTTTTTACTTATTTGGATAATTGAAATGAATCTGCATCCTGGCTTGTGTGTGAATATTCTCAACTTCTATAGTAAGTAAGCCTCCATATCCATTGAGCTGCACTTTTTTGCATACCACTGCACATGTGTAGTGTGAACAGGGCACATAGAAACAATTGTTTTCGGTGTGCCCTGTTCACACCGTACATGTGCAGTGGTAATAATGCAGCTCAATGGACATGGTGTAAAGAAGCCCTTAAGGGACATTGTCCCTACTCCCAAGAATGCCAGCACATACCTTCCTGCAAAAACAGTTATTGACTCCTTACTTTTTATTTTTGTGAGTATTTGTGAGTGTGCCTAGGCACTCCTGTGTCTTCATTCTTATCTGCAGGGTATGTTGTAAGGCGCTACTGCCTCTAACTCCTAGTCTCAGAAGATTTGATGAAGTCAATACTGAAGTCATTACTGTGCTGATCACTGTTTTTGCTGGAGGCTCTGTCACGAGGAAGCAAAATCTTGCCTCCACCAAACAAATGACTCAAGGAATATGACTACAATAATACAGAGAGACAAGGCACTGGAACAAAACAATGAAAGTGTACAATACCTTTAAAGAGTAATTGAACTATAGAAACTGTGCCCAAAAAAAAAAAAAAAAAAATTATATATATATACATACAGTGGGGATCGAAAGTTTGGGCACCCCAGCTAAAAATTTGTATTAATGTGCATAAAGAAGCCAAGGAAAGATGGAATCTCCAAAAGGCAGCAAATTACAGATTAGACATTCTTATAATATGTCAACAAAAGTTAGATTTTATTTCCATCATTTACACTTTCAAAATAACAGAAAACAAAAAAATGGCGTCTGCAAAAGTTTGGGCACCCTGCAGAGTTAATATCTTGTACTGCCCCCCTTGGCAAGTATCACAGCTTGTAAACGCTTTTTGTAGCCAGCCAAGAGTCTTTCAATTCTTGTTTGAGGTATCTTTGCCCATTCTTCCTTACAAAAGTCTTCCAGTTCTTTGAGATTTCTGGGCTGTCTGTCACGCACTGCTCTTTTAAGGTCTATCCATAGATTTTCAATTATGTTGAGGTCAGGAGATTGTGACGGCCATGGCAAAACCTTCAGTTTACGCCTCTTGATGTAATCCCCCGTGGATTTCGAGGTGTGTTTAGGATCATTATCTATTTGTAGAAGCAATCCTCTCTTTAACTTCAGCTTTTTCACAGATGGCATCAAGTTACCATCCACAATTTGCTGAAATTTTATTGAATCCATTTTTCCTTCTACTCGTGAGATGTTCCCTGTGCCACTGGCTGCAACACAACCCCAAAGCATGATTGATCCAACCCCATGCTTAACAGTTGGACAGAGGTTCTTTTCATTAAATTCTGTGCCCCTTCTTCTCCAAACGTACCTTTGCTCATTCCGGCCAAAAAGTTCAATTTTAACCTCATCGGTCCACAGAACTTGTTTCCAAAATGCATCAGGCTTGTCTATATGTTCATTTGCAAAGTTCAAACGATGATTTTTGTGGTGAGGACGTAGAAGAGGTTTTCTTCTGATGACTCTTCCATGAAGACCATATTTGTACAAGTATCTCTTTATAGTGGAATAGTGTACCACAACTCCAGTGTCTGCCAGATCTTTCTGGAGGGATCATGCAGTCAAACGTGGGTTTTGAATTGTTTTTCTCACAATCCTGCGAGCTGTTCTGTCTGATATTTTTCTTGGTCTTCCAGATCTTGCTTTAACTTCCACTGTTCCTGATGACTGCCATTTCTTAATTACATTCCGAACAGAGGATATTGACATCTGAAAACACTTTGCTATCTTCTTATAGCCTTCTCCAGCTTTGTGAGCGTCAACTATTTTCAGTTTCAGTTTTCTAGACATCTGCTTAGAAGAACCCATGGTGCAGATTGTGGGGGCAAGGTCAGATGAGTCTGGGCATTTAAAACCTTTGAGATTGACATCACCTGGTCTTCCCAGATGATGATTGAGAACAATCCATGACACTGGCAGGTCTCAGCTTGGCAAAGGGGGCAGTGCATGCTATAAATTCTGCAGGGTGCCCAAACTTTTGCAGACGCCATTTTTTCGTTTTCTGTTATTTTGAAAGTGTAAATGATGGAAATAAAATCTAACTTTTGTTGACATATTATGAGAATGTCTAATCTGTAATTTGATGCCTTTTGGAGATTTTTCCATCTTTCCTTGGCTTCTTTATGCACATTAATAATACACATTTTTAGCTGGGGTGCCCAAACTTTCGATCCCCACTGTGTATATATATATATATATATATATATATATATATATATATATATATATATTTTTTTTTTTTTTTTTTTTTTGGGCACAGTTTCTATAGTTCAATTACTCTTTAAAGGTATTGTACACTTTCATTGTTTTGTTGTTTTAAAATGGTTGTAAAGGCTCAAGGTTTTTTACCTTCGTGCATTCAAAGCACGAAGGTAAAAAACCTTCTCTGTGCAAAAACTCAGGGAAAAAAACACACAGTAAATCTTCTGGGCACGCCGTGAAACATCCAGTGCTGCAAACATATACGAAAATATCCTCCACCTTTTTATCATCATTTATTAGATTACTTTGCTGTATCTGGGATTGTATTGCTGTACCATGGTCTTGTGATTCCCAGAATTAATCACCGCCAGTTAAAAAAAAGAAAAAAGAAATTTTCAGCTCCGAACAATGTAAAAAAAGAGTAGAAATTGATAAATATTAATGATCCAAATTGCATTGTATTTTTATTTATATAGGCGCCTGAATGCTGAGTTGGAGGCAAAAACAGCTGAGCTTGTTCGCAAAGCTGAAGAAGTGATGGTAAGTACAGTATTCAGGTGTTTATCTCTGGCAGCACAAAATCCAAGTGGAATTTCACCCTTCAGTTGTCTATAGTTTATGGTTTGAAAAGTGTGAAACATTATTCAGGAAAAATATGTCCCCAGAAAAAAAGTTTATTTTGACATGTAAGAACGGAGCCTTGTGGTTGAAAATGGGAATCTGAAAAGACCGCTTTTTACCAAACATCAGTTCTCCTTTTGTTCTAATTTCTTGGTTGGTAATGAAAGTAAATATAATAAACAAATGGAATAGAAAAGGCAGGTAAAACCCCCAATAAAGTCCTAAGGTGCTCATATCACTTTCCTACTAGAATGGGTCAAGACTTAAAGTACATTGATCATACTGTTTGGTCATCCAGAAAATGTTTTATTATAAAAATATTTTATTGGAATAGAATGAATACCAACCATAGTACATTTTTTTAAAAGGCTCAAGATACACAAAAAGACTAATCTTCTATGCTTTGTAGGTCAAAGATTAAAAAAATTGTACCATACCAAATATCATAATACTTCTCAGATTCGAGTATCGTAGAATAATTCTGCAATTTTGTCCACCTGTCAGCAGTGATTCTTTGATCATTGTAATGGCCATTTGTGTCTTTCTCTTTGCAATTAGCAGTTATGCAGCAGGAATCAAATGCATGTCACAGGTCTAAAACCAACATAAAATAAAACAAACCCCATAGATTTAATGGTTTCCCAAAGCAGTTGCGTTCAAGGCATACTCTGATTGAAAATGGCATAGTGTGAATGGTTGAACTCTCAACTAAATTATCAAGCCATCAGGTGGCTGGTGTCATAACTGATCACATGTGTAGCACCATGGCAATTGTAGATCAAACAGAGGCTAAGATGGCAGCTTCCAAAGGATGGGTTGGTTTCGTTCTGTTGTAAGTATTTTTTTAGTTTTAGTCTGCAGATTGATTAGAACTGCTGTCATGTGTTTATCAGTGCACCAGCTTTCAAAGCTGCTGGTGCTGAGTGATGCCTTACCCTAAGGCTTCATTCACATTATAGCATTTTGACATTGCTGCTATTTATCACTTTCTCCTCCATAGAGTAGAGCCACCCAGGTGGTGACTGGCAATCTACAATATATTACATTTTTGTTTTTGGGTTTAGATATGCTTTAAGCCCTACCAGCCAATCAGATTTTAGTTATCAGTCATTTAGATTTAGTAAAAGATGGTGGGCGTGGATTATGGCGCTTTGTTCTGATTCTTAACATTAAACGAACTTTATTGTAATGAAGAACAGGTACAAAAGTAAAAAAAAAAACATGGTACATCAATAACACGTGTTACAGCAGTAGGAGATTACATGTTTTGAAACAGGGAGAATCCAGGAGAATTTGGAATGACAAAAAAAAAATGAGACCGCAAACATATAGATCAAACAACATGGCAAAGTGCACTGATATTGAGTGCCTGTGGGTAAAGTGATACAAAATTCAATGGGGGGGAGTGGTGGAAATCCAGCCATGAATATCGCCATTACATCAGGTTGCATAAGTGGTAGGTGAAGCAAGCCATCTATCCCATATTTTGTTTATACTTCGTGGGGCATCCTATGTGGATATAAATACGTTTCTTGTACGGAAGAGTTGAATTAACTTCAATCAACTATAACAGAAGAGTAGGGACGATTGTCTGCATCCAGTAGCATGCAACTAATTTTCAGGCACTAAATAGGGATTCATGTAAGAGGGTAACAAGGAATTTATCCTCGGACAGGTCTGGGAGGAGACCAAGAAGACACATCCTGGGATCGTATTGTAGAGGTGAGCCCATGTGATCATGCAGGAACTTGATGATTTGTTCCCAGTACATCTGAATAATTGGACAGGACCATATGAGGTGAATAAAGGTACCAGGGTCCCTGAGGCATGAGGGGCAAAGAGGGATCTGCTCAGGATGAAATTTAGAGACCTGAAGTGGGGTAAGGTAAGCTTGATGCACTATATAGAGCTGAATAAGTCTATTGGGGAGTCTCGGTGAAGCCAACTTGGTGCCCTCCAATATCTCATCCCAGATCTCTGTCTCCAATGGCCCGATATCTGGCTCCCAGCGGGATTTGGCCCCCTCCACCACGCAATGCAGTATATAAAAACCGAAATCAGCTTGGTAGGCTCGGACCCAAGCACCACATCTATCAAAGTTATGGGTTGAAGTAAAGTAGCTGGCTCTGGAAATTGGGCCCGCAAGGCATGACAAAGCTGTAGATATCTAAATAACATATGGTTAGGGAGGTCAAATTCCTCTTTTAAGGTTTGTAACGGCTTCGGCCCAGAGGTTGCAGCCACCTGATGGACATATATGATTCCCCTAGAAGACCAAATCTCAGGGATAGGGATAGTGAGCATTTCCGATTTAGCTAGGTGAAAAAAATGGGAAAGCTGTGCCGCCAGATAGTAAGCATGAAAATCCGGGAGGGCTGCTCCCCTCATCGTAGTTGGGTTCTTGAGTATGAGCCAGGAGAGCTTGTGTCTACCCGATCCCCAGATGAACGCTTTAAGAGTTCCTTCAAGTGTTTTGAAGGTTTTTAGGGGTAGCAGTTTCGGGGAGTGCCAGCATATGTAAAGGAATTTAGGCAGGAGGATCATTTTAACTATGTTAATCCTTCCCATAACCCCCAGTGGGAGCCTTGCCTATGATTGGATGCGTGCCTTAAGGATGGTAAATAGTGGCTAATATCAGAATGACGTCTGAGCAAAATTGCTAGGGGTTCCGCCGCAAGCGCGTACAACAAGGGGAACAGAGGATTTGCTCTGAATCTTAACTAAGCCTGGGTAGTTGACCCTTGGAGGAATGCTGTGATAAGAGAAATATGTAGGTTTCTAATGCTGAAATCCCCTTTGTGAAAATACTTTTATGGCGGCCATACATTAGACTAAAAATCATTGAAAAAATCTAATTTTGATAGTTTGTTTGTATTTTGATCAGTTAATGGGCACAAATCAAAAGGAAAAGTTTTTGGAAAAGTTCTTCCAAACAGATAATAAATTGAAAGGTTAATATATTTCTAGCCTGTTAAAAATGTAACTGTTGATACTGTGCATATGTGACCCAAAAGCAAAAAATGGGTGAAAAATGGATTAATTTATGTATGTCCATTGAACGATTTGGTCTTTGCATGATGGCAATATCATTTGCTGTCATGACCATGTGTTTGTTTTTCGAAATACCATTCAAAAGATTTTCCGACTAGTGTGTGGCCAGCGTGATTATCAGGACTGGCAAGAGACTGCCAGGGTTTGGAGAATTGGACACTTCTAGGCTAGCAACATTGAACACGATCATGGTTGATAACTAAAAGCACTGATAAAGGAGGAGCTGAAGATTTAGATCCAAGCACAACTATTGACAAATGGCTTGAGCAAGGTCATCTGCCTACAGCGGCGCCATTTCACATACACTGCAAGCATTTTATTAGTCCTTAATTGCCTCCCCCCTGTCTTAATTGCTCTGCAGACATCATGTACCAATGACAAGATTCTAAGTTGCACCACAAAAGGGAAACTTAAGGATTAATATAATCAGAGAACAAGCAAATGGATGGCAAGCTAACACTGCAGCTGAAGACAGAAGTGGGGAACAAGGTGAGGGACTGAATGCATTAACTGGATAGCTGTCGTGTAAGAGAGACCAACTTGGGTATGAACAGGATAGTGCAGGGGGAATGGGGTTGCGAAACCTTGAGCGAGTCAGTCAGAATGAACAGCATAGTATAAACTAGAAAAAAAAAAGGAGCTAAAGATGAGACCAATAAAACATGAAGATGCTAGGTCGTAAATAGTTGCTAGGGTCAACTACACTGAGCAGAATCAGCCAAACAGCAAGCGCTGGGACTAAAGGTTTGCCACTCTGCAAAGAAATGGAGTGCAGACCCCAGAAGTCGCCTAAACTCAAAGTGGGAAGCAGTTATAAAAGTTAAATCTGAATTCCAGGAATTATTTGTATTGCATACCTATATTGGTCCAGCTTGGCAAAATCTACTGTATACATGCATTCTTGAATGTGATGGGCTGCTGGGGAACTTCAAAATCAATGTAGGATGACATAGAGATTGTGGTGTCACCACTCCTCCTCTCCACCTCATCCAATCAGAGTATGTCTTGTTCATTGAAAAAAAAAAAACCCAAGGTGCTCTATTAATGGTGGTGGTGACAAGCAAGTGACCCCCAGTGGTCGATGTGCAGAGGGTAAGCTGCTTGCATGGAACCTGAGGGGACCTGAAGGATCGTGGCTATTACTGTAGTAGCTCCTACATTGATGATCAGAGGTCAAGGTGAACTAATTCCAGGAGTTCAGCTTTTCTTTTTTTCCTTTTATATTTAAATCGGAATTTATTTAAGCAACATTTTATACATTAACACCATTGGGACAATCCGCCACACAGGATGGAAGACAAAGCTAAGAAAAGGAAATATCAATAATACATAATATTTAAATCAGAGTGAAAAGAAAACATACCCCCCCTCAAAATCAAAACATAAAATAACGGGACCTAACAAAAAGAGAACATATGTTTCATCCATTGAGGCCATATAGCATTACATTTATGCATAGAATTTCTCAGATAATAAGTATGTTTTCTCATAAGAAATATAGCTATTTAGATCTGTTATCCACTCAGAAGAATTGGTGGGTGAGGGGAGGCCCATTTTAGTGCAATCTGCCTACAAGTTCTAAAGAAAGCTCATGGCCAATAGAGGAAGAATCAATATGGCCTAACAGTCATGTAAGAGGTTCTAGTAGGTTAATAGTCCCCAATATGCCATTTAAGGTACCTACCACCTCAGCCCAAGATTTCTTCAACTTGGGACATCTCCACTTACGGTGGATAAGGGATCCTGAAGAGTGACCACACCTATTACAATACGGGTTATCTCTCACCCCAATTTTATTTAATGATTTAGGAGTTCTATACACTCTATGTAGAATATATAGCTGAATCCATGCATGTGAAGGACAGAGACAAACCTATTGCACTGATTGTAACATATCTTTCCAAAAGTAATCTGAAATACTGCCTATATTCCTCTCCCATCGTGCTCTAAAAGTAAACAGGAATCTCAACAAAAAGTGGTCTTTTAATGCCACATACGTGACCGTGATCAAACCCTTCGTAAACTACAATGTACAATGTTGTCAGTTATATGCTTGTGAGAGAAGGAGACAGAAGCCAAGTTAGATTCTACTTGTATGGCATGCTTCAGTTGGAGGAGTTCAGCTTTAAACAAGGGAGGAAGAACAGAATATGTAATAGTTTGTTTCTAGTCCTGCTTGAGGTGATTATAGCTGTATTAGTGTACTTACAACAAAACCAATTGAGTACTGTCTGTGATACCTTTTTTTAATTTGCACTAACATACAATTTTTCAAGACACGTTTTCGGAGTGTACTCCCTTCTTTAAGGTCCAATTATTAGTACTGCTTGGACCTTGAAGAATGGGTACACCCCGAAAGCTTATCCTGAAAAATTGTATTTCTAGTCCTAATTGCTGCAAAAGCAAATGTTAACATTTTTCCTTCTTTCAGAGAGAGCAACATGAGCTGCTATCACAACCAGCACTGACACAGGTTAAACTTTTTGATGAAGATGAGGATGAAAGCCTGAGGTTAGTGTTTTTGTTTTGTTTTTTTTTTTATATACAGTTTAATAGGGTTGAGATTTTTGTTATTTGTTTTTTTACAGCACGCTCAGCAGGCAATTCTGTTATTGAATGAAATGGTTTGTTGTGGCCATCTTGACCCCAACAAACTATTTAAAGCCATAGTAAATTTGGAATTAGGATTTAATCTGCAGCAGAGAAAAGATGACTCCAGGATGTTACCCTCAATAGTAGAGTTTCAAGGAAATAGAAGCCAGATCTGAAAATTGCAAATAGAAAGCAAGGGATAAAAAGGGCAAAATATAAGAAAACTGTGGTAGGTGACAGGGAAAAATATCATGGATGGAGGAAAAGACTAAGGGTCTTATTTATGAAACAGCAGATTTGACAATCTCTTAACATTCACTGCAGTTGAAAATTACAGGTGCATGTATTTTAAATGGCATTGGTTCACCAGCAGAGAATGTTTGTAGAAATCATATGGTCACTTGTGATATAATTAAAGTCCCACATATCTACATACCTTCCTTGTTCGAGTTTTGGGATTATACCCTGGTAGATCATGTGCTTTAGGTTACTCTCTGAACATTTCACCTCAGTATCCTCAGTGTTTGTAGAAAGTTACATTCACTACTTCATCCAAATACCACCCCTAGGTGTCTATTTGATCAAGGAGCAGAACATATGTGGGCTGTAGAACAAATAAAAGCCTTAGGCCTTGATGGCCTTTGTCAAGCATGATAGAAGAAATCTAGTGGTATGGGATAGATTTGGTGCTGGTAAGGCTGGAGATGTACACAATGTATAAACAATAATAAACCTGAAAAGTTAACACTCTGTCTTACAACAAACTGCCATCCCCTGTGGTCAGTGCTTGACTGTAGCAATTGTTTTCATGCAGCAGGACAATATTCTGAAACATATCTATATGGCCACTTTCATATGAAGCTTCCAGTCAGGTCCACCTGGCTGTTTTTCAGGTGGGTCCAATAGGAACCTCCATTCTCCTCTGTGAAGCAGCGGATGTAAACAGACATGTCTGTTTACACCCTCTGACATCCAAACTGATCCGCGAAAAAAAACAGACGGATGGGGATCCCCTTCCATCTAGCAGATCGGATCAGATGACAGTCAGGTGTAAATGGACAGGCAGTCCATTTGCATCCAACCGCCTATAGAGGAGAGCCTGCTGTATCCGTGTTCGTTCTGCTAAAGCAGAGCGGACATAAATCTGTTTATACGCCTGCTCAGCAGGGATCAGTAGACAGATCCCCTGTAGAGAAAACGGATCGCAGCATGATTCTGCCCCATGTGAAGGTACTTTCTTTGATTGACTGGCCAGCACAAACACTAGATCTTAATTATTAAGCTCTTGTGAGAAGGAGTCTCCAAATGGGTCCAAAGCTTTATTCATGGTCACATCTTATTACAAAAGCAACGTTTCGGAACCACGCTGGGCCCCTTCATCAGGAAGGGCCCTGCGTGGTTCCGAAATGTTGCCTTTATAATATGAGGTGACTACTGAATAAAGCTTTGGACCCGTTTCGAGAATCCTTGTTGTGCTGGTGACCCATTTCCTACTTTGTGACACATAGTCGCATGACAAGTCAAACCACACTAATTTCAATAGGTGCTGTCAATAAATACGACTCAAGTTGCAACAACAACAACAAAAAAAAAAAGTTCTTGCACTAGTTTGGTGTGACTTGAGTACCATAGACTGCAATGTTAAATCACTTAAGTCGCAAGCAAGTCTCACGACTTTGGAGTCGAAGCAGTGTGAACTCAGCCTAAGCAGGTGTAAACTCAATTACTAAAACACTTTCCCTTTTAATAATTTTCCTTTGGAATTAATAAAATATTCTGGTTCTTTCATGTAAACAGCCTTGTCTGCATTGCTAAACAGCCAAGCTTACATTTACACACATAACAGAAATAGAGCAGCAACTAATCCCTCTATCCAGCTCCATCTGAGATTTCAGCAATACAAAATGAACCTCAGTGTAAACTGTTTCTGCGCTGCTATGTCTAAAAATACTCGTTGTGCCCCAGAACCTCATTATCATATATTAAATAGTTATTTTTAAAACAACAATTGTGTAAAAAAAAATAAAACCATTTCAAAATGTATATAAAATAAAACTTTAAATGAAAGTTACCACAAACCAATCTCTTTAGATCTTTCCCATGTTTCCAAGCATCATGACTTCAGATATTTGGTGAAAGTTATATGTCATCCTTCTTTCTATTTTTTTTTTTAATATCTGTTAGGTATTTGTTGTCCCCTGAAGTACCAACTTTAACCCTTCCACGGAATACGGTATGGAAATGGTTCACTTGTATCTATATTTTTACAGGCTTGATTTTTAAAAACTGGAATAATTTTTTTTAATGCAAGGTTTTTCAAATGTAAAGCATTGATTTATTCTTATTGGGTTAGATTTCTTGGCAACTAGCAAAATCTGTGACTTTAGGGAAAGAAATAGATTGGTATGTTTCATGGAGTTGGTATGTTCTTTCTGAGATGTTTGGGTTTCCTGTGGTTCACCCAATTTCTCCTCATGTTACAGAAACATACTGACGGGTTAATGTGCTTCCTTCTAGATTAGATGTGTTTTTCTGTGTGAATTTCATAAGGACATTAAAATCATATGCAGGGCAAAGTAACAAATCCCATCAAAACAATATATAGTAACCTTGATTACCCTCTAATCAATAATTAGTGAATAAACATTAAAGTCCAAAGCCCCAAAAAATCTATAAAAATATAAAAATAATAAACAAAAAACCAAAATCATCCCAAAAGCAAAAAACAAAAGGTCCAAAATAAAGTCCCAAATGATGATTGTAAAAAAATCTTTATCTGTGATATCTTAATTCTTCATATCCGAAATCCTTGTGATATACTTCATACCAAATCTTCATATACCTCAAAGAAAAAAAACTCAACATGTGTGATATCTTCAAAGAAAAAGGGGTATATAAAAACCGTGCCACACGTGTTTCATGCACATAAAAAATATATTAACGTGCCACCACAACCGTGAAAGAGGAAGTCCCTCAGCCTTAGGAGTCAATCCACTGCATACCACTAGCGGAAGTGTATAGTTACCCTCAGAATGGTATCAAGGGTCTAAAGTACTTCTTTCCAACCTTTGAATAATCCTTCAGCCTTTCAGCCGCTTCCCACAGACCTCATAAACAGACCAGGGATCAGTATGTGTCATAAAAATTATAGCACTTTATTGTAGTAACTTACATTCAATATAAGGTAACATCAGCTTCCACATCACAAACGATATGTTCACAATCCTGCCTCTCCTCATAAGTGTATAGATTCCACACTCTCTCACTCCCAAGAGGGAACCGATTGCCTGTGGTAAGACCCCAGTACCTCAAGGTCCCATGAGGATTCCAGGACGCCACAGCCGCATGTACCAGAATCAGAAATGGCCGCCGCCGCACTTCCGGAAGAGCGTCACTACGTCACCACGTCACGTGCCCCGGACGCGTTTCGTCACACCGGACTTTGTCAACAGGGATACGGACGTGTCTCCTCATTCCCCTTAAGTACCAACTAGGGCGGGGAAATAATCACCGCGGCCATCTTACATCCTGGAACATTGGGCATCCTCACTCTCCTATATGAGGCATATCAGGGACGGTGAGATGGAACACAGACAAGCCATTAGTCAGAACGGCAAAACTGTCACCAACACACCCCCCAATATATAAATTTTCACTAAGACAACATAATCCTTCATAAAGCTAATGTCAACCATAAGGGTTCAATAATAGACCCATATACAGACAAGTATTATAAAATAAATATATAAATTTTAAAATTCAACTCTATTCCCTCCCAATCATCATGTAAACAAAGAATCCTCTTTTAAAAAGTATTCCACCCCCTAACAATATATAAAAAACCCTAAATAATACAACAATAATCGTAAATACTCAAAAATGATCATAACCTAATCTAAATACAATGGAACACTAAAAATTAATAAATAAAAATAAAATAGAAAAATTTAATAAAATAAAAATATATTAAAGAATATATATATTAAAAGAAAAAAAAAATTAATAATATATTTATATTCCTGGTTATAGTGAGCATTCAATTACTGGTCAGAAATAAAACAATTTAGGTCTAATTCAATATTTAGACCCTTGGGTTTTAAAGTATTAAGCCTATAAATCCAAAAAGTTTCATTTTTGGATATCTCCTGCACCTATTGCACCCCCTCCAATGGGATTCCAGGACATCGATACCACAAAACTTTAGAAGGCTCGGATCCGAACCATGAAACTCACGAAAATGTTTGGATACGCTGTGTTCTTTTTTCCCTTTTTTTACATTTTCAACATGTTCCTTCAATCTAGTTTTTAGATCTCTTTTAGTTCTCCCAACATATTGAATTTTACAGGGACATTCTAATAGATAAGTCACATATTTCGTATTGCAAGTAATAAATTTATTAATTGCAAAAGATTCTCCCGTCACACAAGATGTAAATGTTGTAATTTTCCTCTCTTTTATACCTGTGATTTTACAAATTTTACACTTTTTACAAGGAAAAAAACCTTGGAGTCCGAACATCTTCGGCTTCTTAGGGGGAGAGATCACCCCTTTTACCAATAAGTTTCGCAAGTTCTCACTTTTCCTATAGATAAACCGAGGTTTTCCAGGTAAAATCTTTCCCAACATGGGATCTTTATGTAATAAAGGCCAATGTTTCCTAATGATATTTTCTACCCCTTTGTACTGACAGCTAAATTTTGAGATGAAGGCACAGTCCACTACATTGTTTTCTTTACCATCACGACATCTTTTACTTATAGTGTTCTTTATCTTCCTATCCCCTATATAACTCTGACTCACTTTATATCTAATTTTCTCCAATTGTGTAGGATCATATCCTTTAGACACAAACCGATTTTTAATCAACTCTGATTGTATAATGTAATCCTCCAGCCTCGAACAATTCCTCATAACACGTATGAATTGGCCTTTTGGGATTCCTTGAATCCATGAAGGATGGTGGCAACTGTTGGTGGGGATGAACCCATTCCTGTCTGTATCTTTGAAGAAAGTTTTAAAACACAGTTGTCTGTATATGTGTCTATTATTGAACCCTTATGGTTGACATTAGCTCTATGAAGGATTATGTTGTCTTAGTGAAAATGCGGTTTATATATTGGGGGGTGTGTTGGTGACAGTTTTGCCGTTCTGACTAATGGCTTGTCTGTGTTCCATCTCACCGTCCCTGATATGCCTCATATAGGAGAGTGAGGATGCCCAATGTTCCAGGATGTAAGATGGCCGCGGTGATTATTTCCCCGCCCTAGTTGGTACTTAAGGGGAATGAGGAGACACGTCCGTATCCCTGTTGACAAAGTCCGGTGTGACGAAACGCGTCCGGGGCACGTGACGTGGTGACGTAGTGACGCTCTTCCGGAAGTGCGGCGGCGGCCATTTCTGATTCTGGTACATGCGGCTGTGGCGTCCTGGAATCCTCATGGGACCTTGAGGTACTGGGGTCTTACCACAGGCAATCGGTTCCCTCTTGGGAGTGAGAGAGTGTGGAATCTATACACTTATGAGGAGAGGCAGGATTGTGAACATATCGTTTGTGATGTGGAAGCTGATGTTACCTTATTTGAATGTAAGTTACTACAATAAAGTGCTATAATTTTTATGACACATACTGATCCCTGGTCTGTTTATGAGGTCTGTGGGAAGCGGCTGAAAGGCTGAAGGATTATTCAAAGGTTGGAAAGAAGTACTTAGACCCTTGATACCATTCTGAGGGCAACTATACACTTCCGCTAGTGGTATGCAGTGGATTGACTCCTAAGGCTGAGGGACTTCCTCTTTCACGGTTGTGGTGGCACGTTAATATATTTTTTATGTGCATGAAACACGTGTGGCACGGTTTTTATATACCCCTTTTTCTTTGAAGATATCACACATGTTGAGTTTTTTTCTTTGAGGTATATGAAGATTTGGTTTGAAGTATATCACAAGGATTTCGGGATATGAAGAATTAAGATATCACAGATAAAGATTTTTTTACAATCATCATTTGGGACTTTATTTTGTTTTTTGCTTTTGGGATGATTTTGGTTTTTTGTTTATTATTTTTATATTTTTATAGATTTTTTGGGGCTTTGGACTTTATGTTTATTCACTAATTATTGATTAGAGGGTAATCAAGGTTACTATATATTGTTTTGATGTTATTTGTACTTCAGGGGAAGGATTGTGTTAGTAACTTGGTGGGAATTTCGTTTGTAAAAGGATAGTGCTATATGCTGAATAAAGTAACAAATCCACTTAAAGGAAAACTCCACTTTCGTTGGAAAAAAATTAGCAAATAAACAATAAATAAATAAGAATTAAAAAAAAAAAAAAAAAAGTGTGTGTGTGTATATATATATATATATATATATATATATATATATATATATATAATACAGTTACGACACAAGGCATATTGTAATTGAATGTTATTAAAAATGACCTTTCCTTTTCAATCTGCAGCGCTGTAATTCTCTGTAAAATACAATGCAATGCAATGTGGCTACCTGGAGGCTTTCTGTACACAGATGGTGATTTCCTGCTTGTATGATTGGCTCACTGATTTTCCCAGAAGTCTGCACTAGGATACAAATTCAATTTTGAGCATCCCCTGCAACAAAAAATGTCATTTGGTGAGATAGTCCCAAAGGAAATCACATTTAAAGGGATGCAGACACTGCACTTTTCCTCATTAGAGCCTTGCAGATGCAGCAGTTGGTTGATAATTATACAATAAATACAAAATGGGGCACCATCCAAAACCCTGAAGGATAAAAAAGAAGAAATAATAGTGCAGGGAAGCAGCTCTTACAGTGTGCCAACACTCTGTATACAAAAATATCTATGAAAAAAAATTGCTATTCCCATTCTGATAGAATGATAATCAATAACGTGAATATTACAAAATATATAATTATAGTGACTTTTGATTACGACCATAAACCATATAAAAATAGTCTCTGCAAGAAATAATCATCATAAATCATAATGTCCATAAATTAATTTTATCCATCCAATGACCTTCTGTGAATTTTCACTCAAAATGTATTCCCAGCACCTGTGCGAAATTCCACTTGGTGTCTATTCACCACCACGTGTGGTAAGATAAAAGGCTTACTGGATCTACTTTAATTCATATCACATAATCAGGACAGTTCAGAGGAGACAGATGTCACCAGGATCTTCTTTTGTTGAACAATATCATTGTGACAATACACACACTTCAAAAGAAGAGATTTCTCCCATAGCGTTTCCTCTGAACTTTCCTGATTATGTGATATGCATGAATTGAAGTAGATCTGGTAAGCCTTTTATCTTACCACACATGGTGGCGAATAGACACCAAGTGGAATTTCGCACAGGTGCTGGGCATACATTTTGAGTAAAAATTCAGAGAAGGTCATTAAATGGATAAAACGAATTTTATGGACGTTATGATTTATGATGAATATTTTGTGCAGAGACTATATTTATATGGTTTATGGTCGTAACCAATGTTCACTATATTTATATATTTAGTAATCAAATGTTATTGATTATCATTCTATCAGAATGGGAATAGCACCTTTTTGTGTTATTGATATGGTTGATAATGATAAAACTACTCCCATACAGATTCACTTTGTACATGCACGCAAACAAACAGCTATTTCTCCAGAATAATAAAAGTTAAGTCTGCAACAAAGTTTGTTAAAAGCCTTTCAATGTACATCAATCACCCAGAAGGGAATTTGATTTGGTTTTTTTTTTTTTTTTCTTTTTTTTTTTCAACAAAAGTGGAATTACTCTTTAAGTGATCCTCCCTCTGCCTATATTTCCCTCTCTCTGCCCCACCACTTTGTTTGCCTGTGGGAAATAAGAGAGAGAGCCCAGTATAAACTGTAATGTTTTCCCTGGTTGGCACTTACACCAGCTTTCTCGGTCCCAACGTGACATCACTGGGTCTTGGTGATTGGCTTCTCAGGCACTCAGTACTGCAAAAGCCACTTATTCTCCATACTGGGTATTTCTCTTCCCTCCTGGTGGTTGAATGAAGAAGCTGGATATATAGCACTGGGGAGCATTTTACTGGACCTGGTTTTTGTCCTGCATGGGTCACTGTCTTGGAAATATTATAGATAGGCAACTTCTATGCTAATATTGATCTGTGGTTTCAAATTGATATTGACTACTGTAGTTGGGAACAGACACAAAAAGATACACTTGGCATCTTTACAAATAACTGTTCTGTTTATTCGGCACATTTTGAGATTTATTTTTTTTACATAGGTATCACATCAATATTACAATTGTAAACAGTACATAGGCGGGCTAGTGTTTTTTCATGGTCTTTGGAATGTGTGTAAGTAGCATAAGAGATACGGTAGTATAATGCCAAGGTCATTGGTTGCTGTGGACAAAGCATATAAAATAAAATACATGTATAAACAGAATTTAAAAACTAATTCACAGTGGGTTAGGCTCTTTCATGGATGGGGACTGATGTGGATGATCTGCCTACATTGCAAAACACTGTAAAATATGTTAACATAGATATAAAATGTGAAGTTAATAAATGTTTTTGTGGGATAGTGTAAGCAGTGACAAAAGTTAAACACTAGAGAAGCGCAAAAATGACTATTGAACTTAAACTTTTATTGTGCTTCTTTTTGTATGTGCTAGTAATATGATATTGAGTTTGAAATGTTTTGCAAGGATTTAACAAAATTTATAATTTTCTTGTGGAATCCCTGTAGATAAAATCATATAATTGGAGGGGACCCTCCTGATGAAATTCATTTTTTTTTGTTTTTTTTCTAAGTGGAAGGAAATTAAACCAACTTCTTCTAGGAACAACCATACCTATTACAGGTTTCTTAAAATTCGAATGCCTGGTTAATATTTGTTTTTTTTCAATTTAGCACATTAGAACAAAAGTGTGGTTTGCACAGCGGCTTGGTTTGTTTGTGCAAAGAACCACATTCTTTTTATACTTGCTTTTTTACTTTTGTGTTCACTGTAGAATGTCTTTAAATATTGATGAAAATATAATCCAGAAAATAAAAATTGTGGATTTAAATATACAGGGATGAATGCTTACGATAAAAAGGAACTAAAGCCATCCATTTTAACTGTTTCCCAAAACTGTTTCATTTAAGGCATGCCATGAATGATAACTTTTAGAGTTGCTTATGCTCTTAACCAAACTGTCAAATGGCTGGTGTCATAGCTGATCACATTTGCCGCACCATTGCAAGTGCAGATCAAACAGAGGCCAAGATGGCAGCTTCCTTGGCTGTAAAGGATAAGCTGGTTTACTTTCACCTTAAAGGATAAATTCACCTTTTGGACCAAAATAATAAATGCACATTTTTTTGCAGGTGAAAAAATGTGCATTTATTATTTTGGTCCAAAGGAACCTGTAAAGCATTGCATCAGCAATCAGTAGATCGCTGATGCCATGCAGATCTCCTGCAGACCTGTCAGAATATCTGCTTGCCGTACAGGATGTACGGTCAAGCACATATACTGACAGGATACTTCAATGAACTACCACGTTGCTCCACAGTGCCTTGGTAGTTCATTGAAAACTACAAGCCGACAGCCGCTAAGGCTGTCTGGATTTGTAGGCACTCATTCACGGAACTCTGTGAATGAGTGACATGGCTGTGTGGGCGGCGCCTTGCATGGCCATGCTGTTTTCAAATCTGACAGTACGGGAAACTTCTCTCCGTATTATATGTCAGAGGGAGGGGGGTGGGCGGGCGGCGGCTGCGGCTATGGGAACATGTTACATGTTCCAAAGGTAGACTTATTCTTTAAATATTCAGAAAAAGAAATCAACAAATTAGGATGGTTAGTTAGCTTGGGGCAGAGTGGGCAAGATGGAACTGGAAAATCCTTCTTCTAAGACACTACAAAGTGCAAAATGCCTTTTTGAAGGAAAAAGTATTCTAGCACAGATCTAAAAAAAACAAGGGATTATTTCCCCGTTTTGAAGACAGTAGGCAAAACCATGCCAATTCATTCTTTGTTTCTTTTGCTAGGGTCCATTCCCACCCAGTGCACTACAACACATGCGCAACATAGGGCAAGCACAAGATACAGGACACCATGGGGGTTATATCGGGTTTTATCGCCAAAGCTTAATTGAACAAGCCAAAGTTAGAAGCTGATTGGTTACCATGTACAGCTGCACCAGATTGTGAGTGCTCCAGTTTTAGTAAATCTGTGTTGCAGAGCACATGAAGTTTAGAGGTGAGTTGGGGAGCCATTCGCAATGGCTTCAATGCTCCAGTGCATGTTGCAGTAATGTGCGGGTCATTATTATTATTGCAATGCAATGTTGTGACTGATCTCTTAATGTAGCCTAGTGTAAACGATCAGCTAACTAAACTTTGCTTTCCACTCTGTTTGGGTATTGGGATACATATTAGGTATGAGGCAGCTAAGACTTTCAGGAGCAGCAGACATCTGGGAGGACACAGAGTGGCTTGCAAGGTCAATGTAAGTGTACAATGTAAAAACTGATAATTCTGACTTTCTGTGTAATGATAACTTCTTCATTTTATAGAATGACAGTAAACCTAATACAAAATCCACAAAGTCATCAGCTCGGAGCAGGCCATTTTCTGCAAACAATGGGAAAAAACAAATGCCTAGGTAAAAAAAAAAAAAAAAACTACCCTTTTAAATGTATTTCTGTTTATTTGTGATACCACTGATTTGCAACTTTGTTTTTTGCTCCTCCTTATCACGGATGTGTGCATTATGATGAAGGGCATGTTTCTGTTTTTCTTTCAAGACCTCGACCGAAAACTACCGAGACACAAGCTGCCAGTGACGTTGCAATCCCTACAGATATCACAGACTTCTCCCTTGCAAAAACCATTAGCAAGATTGAATCTAAGTTGGAGGAGGGAGAGCTGCCAGAAAACACTGAAGATGATGTCATTCTAGGAATAAGCAATGAAATTGGTGCAGGTATTTGGCTTTCAGTTTTAACACTGAAGAAGAAAAGGTTTATATATAGATTTATAACAGAATCTCTGGTTATTGTTACATTTATACGTGTGTAATGTCTCTAAAGTTCCCTGTTGAAAATATCAAATAACCACTTGCTGACCACCAACAGTACTTTTACAGCGGACGGGTGGCAGCTACAGGCAAAGCAATGCACTGGTATATCGCTCTGCCTGTACTAATACACAGTGGTGCCCCGCTGGGGCGCACAGCATGTCCCCCCCCCATGACCGCTGTGTCCACCGGACACAGCAGAATGTGGATCTCAGTAACTGGGACCCGGTGATCATGTGATCGCATAGCTAGCAGGCTGTTATGACTCAATCTGACCCATGACAGCTTTCCTTCTGTTTCTAGTGAGCTGTTATTGGCCCACAGCTCTCAAATGTACTAGGCCAATCACAGCACTCTGTACCATGTGTCCAGCTTTAGACAATTACAGATCACTGTATTTTGAACTGTTATGAACTTAACCCATTCATGACAGTTCAAAGTAAGCATTGCATTGCTGAGCAATAAACCTTATTGCACCTGCAATGCAAAGTGTATCAATATATTATGTGTTTGTGCATTCAAATTAAAAAAATTAATTTTTTCAAAAATGTTTGTGTTTGAAAAATCACTGCGCAAATACTGTGTGACATAAAACAATTGCGAAACCCACCATTTTATTCTCTAGGGCCTCTTCTTTAAAAAATATATGTTTGGGGGTTCAAAGTAATTTTCTAGCACAAAAAATTGACTTAGCATGCCTCTCAGCAAATTCCTAGGGTGTCTACTTTCCAAAAAGGGGTAATTTGTTTTTTTTTCTGTACTGATCTGGTATTTTAGCACCTCAGGAAATGTGACAGGCAGTCAGAAAGTAAAAGCTGCGTAATTTCCTATATATATATATATATATATATATATATATATATATATATATATATATATATATATATATATATATATATATATATATCATAGTTTGTAGGCACTATAACTTTCACACAAACCAATAAATATACACATATCGGGATTTTTTTTTTTCCCCAAAGACATGTAGCAGAATACATTTTGGCCTACATTTATGACTAAATTTGAATTTATTGCATATTTTTTATGACAGAAAGTAAAACGTCATTTTTTTTTCTAAAGTTTCTGTCTTTTTCATTTATATCACGTAAAAAATAAAAATCAAGATCAAATACCACAAAAAAAAAGCTCTATTTGTGTGGAAAAAAAGTACATGAATTTCGTTTGGGTACAACGTTGCATGACCGTGCAATTTGCAGTTGAAATAGCGCAGCTCCAAATAGCAAAAAATGGTCTGGACAGGAAGGGAGGTAAATCTTCCACAGGGCAAGTGGATAAGGTTGGCCTATAGAAAGGGAAGGACCTTTAAAAAAGTAAGCATAAGGAAATTATTTGTTTACAAAGGAGCTTGAGGGAGCTTTTGTCCATAATGAACATGGTATTGACACAGCTCTAAATGATCCATGTTGGCTCACAATTGATATGATTGATATGATCCAAAAATATTTAGACAGAATAAAGGTGAATAAAGCACCTGGACCGGATGGCATATACCCACGGGTCCTTAAAGAATTGAGCTCTGTCATTTCAAAGCCATTGTTTCTAATTTTTTGGGACTCTTTAATGAGTGGCATAATACCACTGGATTGGCAAAAGGCCAATGTGGTGCCAATATTTAAAAGGGGTCAAAATATTTACCAAGTAATTATAGACCTGTTAGTTTAACTTCTATAGTTGGGAAGATACTGGAGAGCTTCATAAAAGACCACATAGATGAGTTCTTACTGGAAAATAATATTTTAAGCAACAGACAGCATGGATTCATGAAAGACAGAAGTTGTCAAACAAATCTTATTTCTTTTTATGAGGTGAGCAAAACCTTGGACAGAGGGGTGGCTGTGGATATGGTATGCTTGGATTTTGCAAAAGGTAAAGTCTACAGGCTTGGAAAAATCCATATGTAAATGGACAGAAAACTGGCTAAAAGATCGTATTCAGAGAGTATTGGTTAATGATTCATACTCTGAATGGTCTAGGGTTGTTAATGGTGTATTCCAAGGTTCAATGTTGGGACCCTTACTTTGTAATATATTTTGAAACTGTATTTTTAATCCCAGACCCTATATTGTTTCTGTCTCTATCATCTTCTTCTTCTTCATCATACATACTAGGGGGGTACAACTGGGGGAATCAGTGGTGGAGAAGGATCTGGGAGTTCTGGTAGATCACAAGATTAATAATGGCATGCAATGCCAAGCTGTGGTTTCTAAAGTGAGCTAAATCCTCTCTTGTATTAAAAGTGGTATAGACTCCAGAGAGAGAGATATCATATTACCCCAGTACAAATCATTAGTAACACCTCATCTGGAATATGCAGTTCAGTTTTGGGCATCAATTCACAAAAAGAACATTGGATAACTGGAGAAAGCACAGAGAAGGCCCACCAAACTGTTAAGAGACATGGAGGAGCTCAGCTATGAGGAAAGATTAGAGGAACTGAATTTATTCTCTCTTGAGAAGAGGAGATTTACACCCCGGGCACATCGGGTGCAACTTGGCATGTGATTTGCATGCCCTGTGACTTGCAATTGCAGTGGTCATATCAGAGTAGTTCCAAATTGGTCAGAGCCACACCAATTTCCAAAGTAGTGCATGCACTATTTTTTATGTGATTTGCATAGACATCTGTGTCAGATGTCTATGCAAATCGCATCTCAAATCGGCATGTCACCTGACTTTGAAATCATGCGGCTTCAAGTCGCACTATTTCAAACTCGTGACTGGTGTGTAAGGGGGGATATGATCAACATGTGTAAATACATCAGTGGTTCATATAGTGACCTCAGTGTAGAGTTATTCACCCTGAGGTCATCACAGAGGACAAGGGGACACTATTTACATCTGGAGGAAAAGAAATTTAATCTCCAAACACGGAAAGGTTTCTTCACAGTGAGAGCTGTGAAAATGTGAAATATACTCCCTCAAGAGTTGATTCTGGCCAGCTCAGTGGATTGCTTTAAAAAAGGCCTGGATCTTTCTTCAATACACAGAATATAACTGGATACTAACATTTATAGGTAAAGTTGATCCAAGGAATATCCGATTGCCTCTCGGAAGATCAGGAAGGAATTTTTTCCCTGCAGGAGCAAATGTGTGGGTGTAGGATTATAACTTTTTTTTTTTTTTTTTATAGTATGGTTGAACTGGATGGACTTTTGTCTTTCTGCAGCCAGACTAACTATATAACTATGTCATATTTGTAGATTTATAACCACTTTCTATGCACCTGCACAATATTTGTGTTTCATTTTACTTGCAATGCTTTCCATCTCCCAAAAATTCCTTCTCACTTTGGTCTGCCATTCATTATTTTTGCCAACTAAAATTGTAAATGGAGCCTGAAGAACTGCTGGAGGAGCTGTTTTGTTGTGTGATAGTTTTTGTTGTCTGAATCAGTGTGCCAAATACCAGAACTTGTTTTGTATCAACATCCAATCCATAGTACTTAAGGAATACCTGGTAGAGACTGTCATTTCTGACCTCTTCTGAAAATACACGTTGTTGAGCTATTATACTTGGCCTTCTTGCTTCAGTACTTTAGTACTGAGTGTTAAACAATCAAAGCAAGGTAAAATGATTTCCTGAGCCATGTGAAACTGAAGGGACACTTTAGGCCCCTTTCAGATGGGGAGGACCCATTGGCGGATCCGCCTGTTTAGCGGGGGATCTCTCCGTTGATCCACACTGAGCAGGTGGATGACAGGTCCGTGATCGCCTGTCTGTTTCCATCCGACTAGCATGCGAACTGATCCACCAGACAAATGGGGAACGGATCCCCATCCGTCTGTTTTTGGCGTACAGGATTTGGACGTACTAACACACACCGGCCCATAGAGGTCTATGGATGGTCCGATCAGGTCCGCCTGAAAGCCGGACCCGATCTGTGAAAGGGGTCTTAAGGTGTAAAGATGCAGGATAGTAGTTTTCCCCTCTCTAAATATTGAAATAAAGGTTTTTAGTAGAGCGGGCTTAGGTCTCACTCAGTCCTTGATTGTAGTTATAGCAGTTTTTAAGGTGCGGCATTTAGTAGCAGAGAAGAGGGATTAAGAGTCCTGACAACCCCATTTAAAGATTACATGGCAGAAAAGTACATCTCGTGTTCTCTGATGTCTGAGTTGAGATCTTGAGGAAGAGGTTAAAATGTAATTTTCAGCTTCAGTCCAAGTGACCTGTCTTTATGACACAGCCTTTCCCACCTATTCAAAACAGTGTCCACAGTTCCCCTTCACATCACAGACCCCGCTTCACATCAGTGTCCTCCACTAGCCCCACCCACACACTTTCTTAATTCATTGTCTTTAGTCCCTTCTTTACATCATGGCACAGAAGGTCTGGATGGAAGGCAGGGGCTGACCAATTTTTCATGTTAATAAACAGGTGATTGGTTGCTAGGACTGTCTCACATTCCAGCAACTAATCTCCTGCTTGGTACCTTAAGAAATGTGGCATTGCCCAACCTCCATATGGACCTGCTGTACCTCTCGTTCTTTGTCTTGCTGTGAGGGTGACGGTGGCAGCAGGACGGGTGGAAGGGTACGCACCGGAGAGGACACCCAGGCTGCTAAGTGGAGTGGCTATAGTTCGGACAGGAATGTCAAAATTGTAAATTATATTAAACATCATTATAAACATGCTGTTTGGGAATAACTGCACATCTTCAGGTGAGTGTGTTGAACGGAAAACTGGGTTGGACCAGACTTTATCACTCTTCTTGTCACAGTTAGTCTAAAATGTATTTCAACTTTTGCGGTCCAATTTGAGAAAACCCCATTTATACAATAGGTATAGAAAAAGAATCACATTTTGCTGCTTTGCAGCCTGAAATTAAGATAGACGCTGTTTTTGTTTTATCCAGCTGTATTTATTTGCAACTTCTGACATCCAAG